ATATACGGTCTAGCAGCACCAGAAAACTTGAGATTGCCAGTTCCATGATCTCTTAATCATCCCTTAATTAAGCGATTACTGTACATGATTTTATCAGCTGCCTGGATGTAGGACTCCTCAGCAAATGGCCTTTGTGGCAGCTGGAGGTTCACGTGCAACTCAGGACCCTTTTGTTGCAAAGCTGCGGTCCTCCCATGATCAACTTGTCCGTCATGGCGGGCGTTCCTTGGAAACTATTTGGGGCTGCGATCATAGTCCGGATGTTCTTTTCCCGCTCACCGAACATTGGGTAACTCCCAAGGGAATTGATCCCATTACATTGAAAAATATTGAAAATCATGGCAAGGGTTGGCCAAGTTGTTCAAACCTTGGGGAAAGACACAGAAAACTGATGGAAAACATGGAACGACTGGAACGACCAATGGGATGCCTTCCATATCTTCCGTTCGGTTCAGGTCAGCGGATCGGCCCAGCGAGACTCCGCAAAACTGCTGCTGATCACTTACGCTGCCTCTGTGACTCGTTTGCTGCATGCCCCCATGGAGTGCCATGATGTGCCATGATGCAGAAATGTGCAGAAGACAATCCTTCATGTAATGTCACATGTCAATGCAGAAACCACAACATACCGTAGCAAAATATGGCAATGCAATGCCTGGTCTGTGGACAAAGCATGACAAAACTGGATACTGTTGTTGTATGACTGGCTTTCACGACACACGGTGGTCCAACGGTCTAACCACGTTTTACTCCTTTAAACAGTTCTTTCAAATCCTCCGACGTGGTTGTGTTTGTTAACAAGAAAGCCGTGGTAGAGTTCTCGTCTCCCACAGCCTGTTCATACTATGTTCCATATGATCCAGCAGCAAGCTGGCGAAAGCACTTGGTTTTCCCGGGGATTATGGTCTTGCGTTTGCCACGGATTAGGAGACGTCCACAGGGCATGAAAGAATATCAAAACTGGTACACTTCAGAGATTGCAGATTGCAAGTGCTAGAGGATTGAGATCAAGTATGTCGCACGTGAGAGTTCTTGGCGGCACTTAGGTCTTTACATGGGTGATTTGGATGACGATCTATCTGTCTTGGCTGTAGCAGGCACTGACTTACGTCAGGCTTCAACTGCGGCGCAGGTGGAACCAGTGAAACAGCTTCATGTCATAGGCGGAAGCCTTGGCCAAACAACACAGCCCCAGATGCAGTGTTTCACCAGTTCCATGATGTTCCATGGCCAGCAGCGGGGAAGCTGCAGGGTGAAGTACTCTCAGAGTACACATGTACAAAGCGAACCATTGACCATTGTGAGAGGATCAATGGGCGATCGGCTGATATAAAAATCCCAGATGCCAGAGACCCCACAAACTGTAACCCAAGAATGATAAAGATAATGTGAGTATATCATATTACAGGCTTATATAGGATCGGTATAATGGGCAAATTAACATCGTAAATGAGTAAACTAATGCAAATTAAACAACTATAGTCATGTGCTCCTCACAACAATGGTCAGCGACCTGTCTCCCGAAGCACCCGTGGCACCTCCCAGGTTTGGCACTGGGGTGGGCACCAGCCTGGGAAATGCTATGTGAATTTTGGGCGCATCATTTGTATCGCATGGCTTCACCAGCAAAACAATGGAAAAGGATGAAAAAAGAAAAAAATGATAAAAGAAGGCAGTGGCACACTGCTGCGTCCTGTCCATTTCATGGTTTTCGCAGTGCCTTTGACATTGGTAGATATGAGATGGGCACGAAGAGTTCAAGTTGGGATTTTCAGAGAATGATTTAGATGTTCCCGGATCTTCCCGCTTCCATGTTCAGGTCTTGGGAGTACGTCGTTCAAGGCACAGCACATAGATCACGTGCCAAAGTAGTTTTCAGTAGCCACATGCCTTGCTATAGTTTATCATTATTTTTACTATTATTACTATTACTACTACAATATATCTAATCTATCTATTTGTTTGTCTGTCTGTCTGTCTATCTATCTGTCTGTCTATCTATCTATCTATCTATCTATCTGCATGTTCAAATCTTTAGCTTCAGAGTTTCGTCAGTCATAGTGTGCGGCTGGTGGGTTCCTGCTAGGGGAACCACCACCAATGCCAAGGCCAATACGACCGCTTGGCTGAGCAGCCGGACTTTGCTCCAAAGCTGGTGTCCTGCTTCCCAGAGGACGCTGCGGGGTAGGATGACAGAGAAACACGGGGAAATGGATACATATTGGATGGCAAATGATGACATATCACACATATTATCCAAATATCACTCATGATGAGCCATGTTTCACACCAAGCCTGGCAAAGAGTGGGACTACTGTGATTCCGGCTTACAGTGTATATGAATGCATATATATATACACTTATATATACACATGCAATACAAATACGTTTGTCAAAGATTGTTTTCCCGCAATAAAGATCAACTAGCTACCCTGTCAGGATGCAGTTGCAAGTGCTCGGAGCCGAGGCACCATGGTTGTTGTGTATCATTGGGCTGTTGGCGAGTGCACAACTGCAGCATGAGATGTGCGTGCTTGACGTGTTGGCAGGTGTGGCCTTTGTTTGCACCCGCGGCCGAAGAGTGCGGGGCCCCAAAAAAGATCTGTACAGCAGGGGGCTGAGCCATGAAGAGAGAGAGAGAGAGCGAGGGCAGAGAACTGAGCTAGCTGTAAGATTTTGTAAGATGTTGTAAGTAGATGTAGCTACTCTCCAAATGTTTCCTGAGATTTTGAGGACTGCAAGGCTCATGAGCACAGTGAACTTTTCATTCCGGCACTGGGATCATTCGAGGCTGATGCTGGGGTGCCGAACCAGGACGACTTTGTTTTAGCAAGGCACTCCCTGGCCCATGATGGGCACATCGCAATCCTGGCTAGTTTCAACTTGCAGCTGCTGAAAGGACAGACTCCTAACAGACAATACAGAAAATTGTGTGGCCGAGCCACCTTTTGCATTTGAATTGTTCATTTAAACAACTGCATTGTGTTTGAGCTGGTTCATACTCTCTGTGCATGACCATCATTGAAAGATTTGAGCAACTACTACATATCACGTTCATGCGCATTGCCGCAACACATTTTAAATCTCTGCATCGACACCTTAAATGCATCTTGGGTAAAACAAAACATGTCGCAAGATGGTGGCTTGGCCCTTCAGGGCTTGGTTTCAGTCCAGGCCACACGGGGCCAGCCTGTTAATCGGTGCCCAGCCAGGCACTTTATGGAGTCTTCGATGGCCATGGCCAAGCAGGTGGACCTGACATAGGGCGGTTCTTGAAGTCACTTTTTTCACACACACACACACCATATGTACATGATATGAATATTATCCATACACATACATTACATTACCTTACTTTACCTTTCCTTACATTACCTTACCTTACCTTACCTTTTATATTAGATTATACATTACATAGCATACATACGCACACATACGTACAATATATATATATAAATAATATATATATATATGCATACAAATATTATTGTGTTCACATGTATATCTGTATCTCTATCTCTATATCTATCTCTATGTCTCTATGTCTCTATATCTCTATAATCTCTATAATCTCTATAATCTCTATAATCTCTATAATCTCTATAATCTCTATAATCTCTATAATTTAATCTCTATAATCTCTATCTATCTCTATCTATCTCTATATCTCTATATCTCTATATCACTATATATCTCTATATCTCTATCTATCTCTATCTCTCTATCTATTTGTCTACCTATATCTATCTCCCTCCCTCTCTATCTATCTATCTATCTATCTATCCATCCATCCATCCATCCATCCATCCATCTATCTACCGCCTACCTACCTACCTACCTATCTATCTATCCATCCATCCATCCATCTATCCATCCATCCATCCATCTATCCATCTATCCATTTATCCATCTATCCATCCATCCATCTATCCATCTATCCATTTATCCATCTATCCATCCATCCATCCATCCATCCATCTATCCATCGATCCATCGATCCATCTATCGATCTGTCTATCTGTCTATCTATCTATACCTAAGTGAATACGATGCATATCCATGCACTATGTCATCATTTAAAGATCGTACGATCGCAAACTAAAATTTTGTCTACTCATATATGGTTGTATGATGGACCCCCGCGGAAAAAGATATAACGTTTTGAGGCCACCTGCTTGGAACCTGGGGTGCCACATAGGTAAAATGCCTGTCATGCTGCGTACTTTTTACGCTTCTTAACCGGCACAGTCTTTGCTTTTTTGGAGGACATTGGAAAAACCTGCTGGGACGTGAAGTTCCTCTTAAGTCCAACTTGTCGTAGCTGATGATTCAAGATTGCCCAACAAGTTCCCCTGGTAGTTATATTGTACCAATTCCGTTGTACTTTCAAGATCTTAACTTCTGTACTTATACAAAGTACAGGATTCAAGCAGGACTTTCAGGCAATCGCCGTTTTTAACCGTGAAATGCTTTCAACCTTGGTGGCCCCAGGTCTTTCTAGTGATCCTAAAGTTTCAAGAACTTTGAACCCCTTGAACTTCCTACGGGCAGGACGTGTTTGAAGAGAACCTGCTCAAAAGTACGGGATTTTAAGTATTCCCATAACTTTGGTTCATGTTGACTGTTGAAAATGCCGTAAGGCCCTAAGACATACACGACCAGTACCAGGTCAGAACCTGTATTTTCAACGACATGTTCTGCACGCTTGAATTTCCAAATATTTGGTGTTTTATTTTTAAGGCTCTTTGATTTGTCTTATTGTTTGGAATATATCTCGCTCTGAGGGTGCCTTAAAATGTAGATTTGAACTTTGATCGATTGCTCCATCGTAGGACGGCGATGTGACCCCAGATAAAAGTACTAGATAGTGGCGCGTGTCGGTATCATAATTATAATATTTCTTGATGAAATATGATCTTATTTTCTTTTTGTTAGACCGTTGCGCATTGTTTTATCTGTAGAATCTCTATATACAATTTTGTTCGCACATTTTCACTCGTTGCATGAGTAGAAGGACTGTTGAAGCATGCTCTTTGAACTGTTGCCAATACCTTTTGACCTTTCGGTTCTTTATCTTTTTTGGAAGTGTCCGACTTCAAATCGTGTGTTTATATATATAGATATATATATATAGAGATTCTCTTGTAGGACAAGTTGCATTTGCTGCGCCTACGTTTGCCATTTCTTATCATTTCTTCCTGAAAAGACCTATAACTGGAAAGGGCAGGGGAGGTTTTCAAAGGCCGACCGTGTGGGGTAGCATGTGGTTTTGGATTAGATTAGAGGATTGGACGGGATAGCATCAGTTAGGATAGGATAGATATAGGATAGGAAGGATAAGTCGGATATATTCCACTCAGTAGATAGACAGAGACTGTATTTAGATAAGGAAAGATAAAGAGATACATGCATTTATCGACACATATTCACGCCACGCGTGAAGTGACCATGGAGGGCATCGGCACAAATCGCTGGGATGACAGGACACCATTGCGCTGCATATGCTCGCGGGGTTTTGCCGGAGAGCCTTTTTGGCCGGAAGCTGCAGCACTGACAGTTGATAGAGGCACTTATGAGGTGCTTTAGGTTTAGATGCCAAACTTCAACCATATTTTCATGTGATCCATGTGATCCTGCCAAATCTTACACTTCATCATGGATGAACTCAAATCATTCTATCAGCTGTGAATCTCGAATGCCGAGGCCAAGGGTCATTGATTGCAGGGCCTGAAGAAGCTCTGCGAGTGGCCTTTGCTCAAGTACAGGCAACTGTGACAGTGCTGGGGTTTGGTACTAAGTGGACTAAGTAGAGCCAGCGCTACACTGGACGGTCAGCACTTGGATGTAGTATACAATCGCAATATTGCTGCCAGGAGGGACTGCTGCAAGCGCCCCAGGATTTTGTGGGTGTTCACGGAGGGTGTTCATGGATGTCGTTTGGGGTGAGTTGGGGGAGTCCGGCAGAGGTGTCCTATTCTTTCCTTTTCTTCCTTGTGTACACTGAGGCAGCAGGACTTTGACACCGAGACCAGTGGCACCACAGCCACTGTGGCATTGGTTAGCTTCTCAGACTCCGTCAGGCTCCGCCTCATTTCGCTAATTTTCATGGAAAACGAGGACATACGAGGACATTGTGCGGTGGTTTCGATAGGTTCCAACATGTTCCAACATGATTCAGCCCCTTGCGCCTCAAGAATCTTGAAGGGCAGCTTGGGAGTCGGGCTGTGATCTGTGATTTGTGTGATGCGCATGTCATAGACCTACACACTTCTGCCAGGATGGAAAAGAATGCCCATGGGTATCCCTGGGTGACATTGTGATGTATACCTCACACATGCTTCTAACAAAAACCCAGTAGATTTGTCACGAATGTGTACCTCGTAACAGTCCACACGTGTCATCCAAAATGCATCATTTACGCACCCCTGCTGTATGCGAAAACGAAAGAACCGGCTGAGCCGAGGTTCTTCATTTCCCTGTCTCAGAGGAAGACCCAGAATTGCAGGCAGCATTTGGACACATTTTGGCTGGACTTTGCTCTGTTCGACTGGGGTCAAAGTTTGGGGCTGGCTGCAGGGCGAGAGTTGGCTATATGTGGCCAACGTGGGAGACTCTCGTGCTGTCAAGCAGCCCAGTATACTGCGGCATGCCGTGGTGATATGCCACAATCTTTTGCAACCATCCAGAAATATCCTGATGTGTAATGATATGAGTAATGACCCGTTTTGGAACCAGGGCTTCACTATTGCCTGACTTGCTGCCCCTCACCAAAAGAGAAAACCCACTGGCCCATTCACCTCTTTCTCTCTCTGGTCCAGTCCTTTCAGAACCATTTGAGGTTCTGGTCTCTCGAACGGGAGAAGACCGCTCAGAAATCTCGGCTTGCTTCTCAGCGTCAAATCACATCAGATCATCCCACTTCGTGGCATAGTGTGGTGCAACATACAGTCATATGAATTCATATGAGTCATATTATATGTCATAGATGTCATAGATGCCATAGATGTCATCCTATGTGTTTCGGCAGCTTCGCGAGGTCAACCGGCTGACGCGGGATCACCGTCCAGACGACTTGGCAGAAGCGGAACGGATCCAATCCGAAGGCGGTGAGGTCCGCCGGCTGAGACCTGGGAGCGGCACCTCGCGCATCTTTGCGCCAGGCGGATCGGGGAAGCGAAGCCCCAGCCTTGCCTTATCTCATCTTTATAATCTTTATAATTAAATAATATTGATGCTGTTCACAGCTGCGGCCCAATTCGGAAACATCCTTAGAGCACGGGTCAATGTGGTCAGCAAAGTCTGAACTAATGTGTTCTCCAAAATAGCCCACGTTGAGCTTTTGGCACACTTGAAGGAATTCATCTATATATGGCTGTGTCTTTTTTAACGCGTGCAGTTTTTAGTAAAGGCAGGAAGTTCGATTTGTGCGAATCATACCCCCGAATCATACCCCGAATCATACCCCCGAATCATACCCGGTCATACCCCAAAAAAACACGATGATGAATGTTTCTTTTGGGATCGTTTGGGATTGCATTGGCCTCACTAGTTATAATGGACCTGACAAGCTAATTGGCCAGTGTTGGCCAGACCCGATGCTCCCTGGCTACCTTCACATACCTTCACGGAGTGGCGAATCTTCTCCACGCGCACAGAGTCTCATCATTATCCCTAAGCTGGCTGGCTCTGGGTGGCTGGCTGGCGGCTGGCTGGCTGGCTAGGTGGCTGGCTCAGTTGCTGCTGCTGGTTGGGTGGCTGGCTATAGTGGCTATAGGGCTGGCTAGTTGCAGCTGGCTGGCTGCGTGGCTGGCTGCTTGCTGTGTTGCTGATGAGGCTGATGAAGGGGATGACTCTGGCTCTGGCTGGCTGGCTGGCTGGCTGGCAACCAAACCAAAACTCCGTCGAAGAGGAACATAAGCCTAAGCGTAGCTGAGCTAAAGGTACATGAGAAGAACATCCAGAAGAGACGCCGGCAGGCGTCCTGTCGAAGGTCGTCTGACAGGTCGAGCCATTGCAGCCATTGACAAAGTAGCAATCGTAGTAGGTTGACGGTGGGAAAAAGAGACTCAAGCAACAAAGCTTCCTGAATTCAAAAAAAAGATGGGTTTCCGAATCATACCCCGAATCATACCCGAATCATACCTCAAACTTCCCAATTCTGAACCTTGGTACATTTGCAAGATCAGAACTTGTGTTTTGTGAGCTCTTTTCTTTGCAACCATTCGCCACGGGCTTAGCTACGCCTCCTGCTGCTTCTGAGAAAAATTCGACAACAGCACCCTGCAGCGTGCAGCAGCACCCTTCACTAGCACCCTTGCAGCACGAGTTGGGTACAGTACGTACCCTCCTTGCAGCACCCTGAAGCATCACCCCTTGCAGCAGCACCAGCAGGCTAGCTCGACAGCACCCTCAAGCAGCACCTTCCACCCGCATCCGCTCACCAGCATGCCCGCGCCAAAGCAGGGTTTACAGCACACACCACTCTGACAGCAGCACCTTCAATCATCACCCTCAGGCAGCACCTGCAGCAGCACCCTGAGCGCCACAAGCATCGCTCCAAACTGTACACACCACTCTGACAGCAAGCAACACCCTGCACCAGCACCTTGCAGCGGCATTCCAACGGCACAACGACGCCCGCTCCAAAGCGCACACACAACTCTGACAGCAGCACGCACAGCGTCAACAGCATGCCAGCTCCAAAGCGCTCCATGTATGGTATAATTGCCAACAGTTGAAACATTCTCGGGGTAAGTGTGGGTAAATAACCATACGCGGAGGATGCAGGGAAACACTAAATCAAGGCCCGCGAATCATACCCACGAATCATACCCAGAATCATACCCACGAATCATACCCCCTAGTCAAACTTCCCGGGTTGGACACCGTATTTTGAGACATACCCCTATATATATAAATATAAATCTATTTTTATATAGGTTTTTATTTTGATACATGAATTATTATGATACAGCTCTTATTTATAAATTACAGTATATGTTTTTCCTTGTAAGGCAATTCTTGAAGAGATGATCACGGATGATGTCAGGATGCGCGCATGTGATTTGAATTTTTTTTTTCTCATTCTCATCCCACCCTATCACCAGAATTCTTCCCATCCCTATTGAAGATTATTTGCCCAGGGTTTTCCATGGTTTCCGCGCTGGTACTATCCACTTGCAAAGCCGGGGCGCTTTGTCAGGGTGCCAGTGGCCGGCTATGGCCTTGTCCCGGTCATTGGGCGCCTCCATCGCTGGCACATGTGGTGTCAGCTCAGAACCTGAGGCTCAGCAGGGAGGTTTGGGTATGTTTGGGTGGTATTCCGGTGTCACCCTGCATCATCCTGATATGCAAGGCTTCTAATCGATCCTAACCTCAACTATCCTCAACTTATTTTGCTATTCACGGTGCTACTCGTAGCTGGCACTGAACTGCAAAGTCAAAGTTCCAAGTTAAAAACCTGAACTTGAAGGATCTTCAACTTCTTGTGCTGAGAATGCGACGGTATCTGCTGCCAGGTGGCATCTGTCCGCATCGCCAATGGTGCTGACGAGCTTTTAGTGCTTGGCACTGACGGACGGAAGTATTTGAAATATTTTGTTAGTATTTGACATCTTTTGAAACAGGGGCTTGCAGAGGCTTTCAACATCTTCCATGTTCATCCATGCAAATCTCTTGCGAACTCATGGTCAAGAGTGAACTTGCGAGGACTCTTCGAGTTCTGCAGCACCAAGGAGGTTGCAACCCGCTTGTGTCGGGCCCTCAGTACATCTCAGTAGCTGCCAGCTGAAACATACCTAGCCGCCGAGTGACTTGTTGCCACATGGCATGGAGATGAGCAGGGCTATGGAAGAGCACCAGTGAAAGTGGGCATTCTATGGCATTCTATGACATCTGACATCGCGATATTGTAGATGCTCGTACACAAAAAAATTGACAAGCACACACACAGGACTTAGGCATAGGATTATAGCATTTCCTCAGTCAGGCCACAAGAGTCGGTGGCTTAGTCACTCGCTGCCCCGAAGTGGCACGGCTGTCGAGGTACCGAGGGTGTGTCAGATGAAGTGCTCGAGGACATGGTGTGAGGGGGAGATGCTGTCAACAGGCTACCTTCGTAATTTGATGTAATTTGTTGAATTATATAGGTGATGTGCCAAGTCTGAGTCACAACATGTCGCAACATACTCACTTACGTCACAACAATTCCCGTTGGATGACGTGCGGTGAATGCAGCCGGAGTGGAATTGCAGCTAGGAACTCTTTGGGAGGGAGTTGCACCCAGCTCTTTATTTTTGGAACATTCATTCATATTACATCATATTACTTCATATTCATAATTTATCAACTTCTTGTTACCTTACATTTAATGCGAGCTGATTCGGTCAGGATGTGTGCTCTGTGGCCCGAAGGCGTTGGGCTAGGAGTCAGGGACCTGGAGCGGAGGACGTTTGAAGCAAGATGGTCAATTGGTGACAGTTGCGGTGAAGATGGTTATCTGAGAAAGGCCATGCAGCAACCCTCAGTGATGTTTCTCCAGCGATTCTCAGGTTCTTACAATGACACTGTGGATGACATCACGGCCATCGCGGTCTGGTTCTCGGACCAGAGAATTGAAAGCCGCTGGTGTAGGGAATGCTTCACATGAGCCCTGCCTGTGCAGCAGCTTCTGATGCAATGATGTCAGTATATGCCACTGAAGTCCGAACATGATCCGACATGTCATAGCTGTTAGAGTTAGACTTGCCATAGTGACATCCATTTTGACCGGAGCTGTTTGTGCTTATGGTGAATGGCTGCCTTGGGCCGGAACACACGTTGGCAGACGTCAGACCTGTGCATGTCACCAGGCAGCAAGAAGCAGCCATGTCAAGCTACAGCGGCATGAGTTGATTTATATAGTTAGGAGAGAATTCACATTGGACATGAATTCACTAGAACTTTGCTATGGGCTACCAGAAGGGGACTCATGTCTCTCCAAGCTTTCTACCATCCCACAAAAACTGACAAAAGAATACAAAATCAGCAAAGCTTTGTTTTGTTCTTTGAATGCTTTTGCAGGTTTGGATGAGCCTGACTGAGCCTGACTGAGGTGCATCTCTTCCATTATCAACTTCTGTCAGAGCCTTCTCAGCCTTTGGTGTCGGCATTGGGTCGAAATGTATGTAGGATTGGGTGGGAAACTGGTGGACGGGGAACCAGGAGGGTTTGCTCTCTCAAGAGTATAACAACAACGAGAACAAAAAAACAAGTTGCAATCAACCAGAATGGGCTACTAGTAAGAAAGAGTGAAGGCTGGTTGTTCGCTGTGGAAGCTCACAAGTCCTCAAATGCTGGCCGCCTTGCACTAGCTGTCACTAGCTGTAATGTCGATAAATGTTGATAATGTTGAACGTTGCGCAGACGAGTGCATTTCTGTTTGTACTTTAGCCATCTTTAGCCCATGGCTAGGTTGTTGTTTTTCTCTCAGAGAGCTCAAAGGGAACGCATTGGACTAAAGGGTGCTCAGCTCCTGATTAAGACTGATGCGTAGTAACAAGATGTAACAAGTATCATCCCTGTTTCGAAGACAGCATTGGATAAAAAAAACTTCTTTTGCATCCCGAGTTGCTCGGTTGCTGGGCCCAAAGATGGCAGCTTTAGAGACTCAATGAGACTCATAAGGCTGTTGCGAACATGTATGGTAGGCAAGCAGGCCTTCTTCATTTTTCCGAATTGACATGCCAATGCAACATGGCATTAGAGCATGCATGCAGCAGTCCCCACATTGTCGGTTTCTCATCCTCCATGTGGTACGGTACGGTAAAGCAGCATGTTACGCATTGTTACGCATTGTTACGTATCTCAGAGGCACTTGTTGGCGCCATGGTCGTTTCGAGCTCGAGTTCCATGCCGAGCTCCGAGATGTGGGCCACTTGGGAGGCTATAGCAGAGAAATGGGGGATCTCCAGTGACCTGTGGGACCTGGCGTCGTTGTTCCAGGACCTTCCGGGGCTGACAAGCGATCTTGACGCCGCTCGAAATGCACAAGCCGGCAATGCAAACGAAGCTGCTTGGGAGGTGACGGACTTGCAACAAGAGCTGCAGGAGGCAGAGTTGAGAGCAAACGAAGCATTGAAGAAACGTTTGGAGACGCAGGTTGCAATTCTCAATGATGACATCAGTCATATGAGGCAGGACTTGCACAAACGAGCCTCCAGCACCACTCCAGAAAAGCTGTCGTTCGGGCAGGTTTCGCGATAATTCGGATTGCACGGAACAGCTTCGGATTGCACGGAACAAGCGCTCCAGCAGAAAAGGGAAGTGAATGGCCCTTCAGCTGACTCCCGAAAGAGAAAGGCAATTGCGACCAACAATGTCCAACATGGTTCAACTAATTCAATCATATTCTAACATTCTAACTACGTCCAACTACTTCTGGCATCCTTTGACAGATATCACTAAGGAGTGTTCTCCGGCTGGCATGCCAGCGGGTTTTTGGGCAACCCATCGCTGACACTGTCACAATGCCCATGCCCAAGCGGAAGATCGAAGAGATCTCGAATACCTCCGAGACAGGCATGGTAGCTTGGGCAATGGCTTGGGCAATGATCAATTAGTTTGGGCGTATTTGGGCACGAATTGACTTGGAATGACTTGTACACAATTTTCATGGTGAGGTTTGGAGCTGGCATCTTTGAACGTGGATTTTGCGTGTCCAAGATCCCCATGCGTTCTGCACAGGCCAGGTGATCAGCTCAGGCCAAGTTGAAGGCCCCTATTTGGCGGAGCTGAGTGATGAGGTGCTCTTGCAGATCATGAGCCTGGGAACAAGAAGTGTCAAGTGTGTAAATGTGAAGACATCTGGCAAAACGGGCCTAACATTTTTGAACACCCATGCCTTGCAGAGAAGAAGAGAGAGAGAGAGAGAGTGGATAGATGTTTTTATTGTATATATCACGAAAGCTAGCGTCAGCTAGCTGGAGTCTTCTTGCTTTAGCAAGTATTGGGGGGGCTGCTCAAGGACATCACGTGATTTTTCCCGCGAAAGGGCCCCCCCCTGCCCCCTCCCCCATATATATCATTGTAGTTAGATATCATATATCAATATATCAAAGGGTCGAAGCTGCATTTGGATGCAGGATTTTGACTAAGGGTGAGGTGTGTGACAAAACCCCTTTTGGAGTTGCTGGCGGCCAGAAGGGCCAACCGTGCGTTGTGATTCATTTTAAAAATTCAAACAAACTCACGATCCAGGTGCAAGCGCGAAAGATGAATGTAGTAGTCAAAGGTAGGAGACAAGCATTCTCTCCTGAGGCAGTAAGGGCGTTGCTTCCTTTCCTTGGAAGAGCGGTTGAGGTAAAGACTTCGACGGCTACGTAACGAACCTCTATTGTTGGCTGTAATTAGACCTTAGTCTTGAAATTCATCTTGGTCCGGGCCGGTCCCAACACTGCAGCTGTTGGCAACGGACCAGAATGCGATTTATGGTGACTTGGTGTATGCGCGAAACAAAAGACAAGGGTCAAGCTAGTGTAGACTGTGGCTCAGATCGGTTCAATGGTTAGGAGCTTAGGGTTGGTGCAGCTGAGCTGTTGAATTGAAGGAACTGGAAGTAGCAAAGACTGGCTATGTTGTGGTAGTGAGTGTTGCTTGAAGTCTGCTTTTTGCTCAATGTTTTGTTCTTTATGTTTAAACTGTCACCTTCCAGCCATGGATGTGAGGGACTTGGAACATGTTGTATTGGAATGGCTCCAGATACCGCCGCCTCAGATGGAGCTTATGGCTGCATTCAAAGATTTTCAGGGCCTTCTCGATGCTTCTCCGGTAAACCCAGGTAATTTGCGAACAGTAAGTGGGAGGGAGGTTAGCCACCTTCGACATTTGGCAAATCTGGTATCCTCTTTCAAAGGGCTGTTGCGGCGTGTATTACCGGTGGCAGGACGAGGTGCAGGTCAGGTTAAACATGTAGTATCTCCCTTTGTTGGGGGGCAGTCGGTACTAGCTGGAAACTATTTTACGAGTGGAGTGCTGGAAAGAATTAAGTTGGCTACCTTAAATCCGGGCAGGACTGGCTTGGCAGCGTTGGGTAGTGATGATATTCTCTGGTGGCGTGTGTGGCACATCGCCCATGAACTTGTCCAACAAAACGTCAAAATCTGCGTGCTCCCTGGAGCCCGCTTTGCGCCGGGAGCTCCATTGCCTCCCGGGTTTCCCTTCGTGTGGCTAGGGGTAAGATCGGCAAGTTGGGCTTCTATTGGGTTCTTCATAGCGGAAGAGTTGCAATTCCAGGTGACGCTCATGGAGGATGTGGGATCAGATATTGTATTATGGCTTGAGGTTCGCCAAGATGTTAACACTGAAACTCCTGCGTTAATTATTGGAGGTATCTACCCGCGACCAGGGGGAGATTTGGAATGCTGGCAGCAAATTCTCACGGAGTTTGGTATTCTAAAAGCACGCTTCCCACATGCGCTCATCCTCATCTTAGGGGATGGCAATGTCCACCTCTCTGGGCTTGTGGACCATAATGCGGGGTGCAGGTGTTTACACTGTAGACCGACCAAAATGGATCGTGACATTGGTGCGCTTATCCAAGCTGCTGGGTTGGTAGCTTACAACCCTGCCATACCTACACACAGCAGTGGTACAATCATTGACTTGGTGTTGGCTAGCCTTTCTGCACCCATCGAGGTGTCTGTTTGCCAGACGCCAGTGGGATTGTCGGATCATGAGCTGGTCACAGTCACTTGCTCGGTTACATTCAAAGCCACCTACAAGAATTCAATTGGTAGGGTTGAATGGCTCAGAACTTCCGAGTGGACTGAGGCAATAAATGATGCTGAACCAATTTTCCAGCAGTTACTTGATGCTACGCTAAGTGCGTGCGAAGAAGTCTCTACAGGGTGCCTTTCACTTAAAAGGAGGCGAGATGTTCTAGATGCTGCAGCATGGCTGCGTAACGCTGTGATTTGCTTAATAGGACATTCATCAAGTATGGTACGGGCTCGCAAGGGTCCCCGGGGCACGCAGAAACGGTGGCCCACAACTATCCCCACCCCTGGCGACTTTGAGTGCTATGAGGACTATAAGTTAGCTCTCCAAGAATTGCACCATGAAACGAATTTAAATCTGTTTAGAAAATATGTACATTTGAAAAATGAGGATCCGGGACAGGCTGCGCACTTTCTTTCCAGTTGGTTTAAACAAGAAAGCTCCTTCGAAGTTGCCCTTACGCATGAAGATACTCAAGTTTTGATGTCAATTCAGGAGTCCTTGGCTGCAATTGGTGCTAGCCTCACAGAGCGAGCAGACAAGAATCAGCCGGAAGTGAATTCAGCTTACTACCAAATAGTCAGCCTGAGTAACGATATCTATCGGGCTGGCGCCCCTAGGATTGGTATGCCAGGACTGCCTGTCCCCCCGTGGAACACTGCTCACAATGATGCGCTGTATGCCCAACACGAACTGAGGCAGGTCTTGGCCAGTATTAAAAAGAAGAAAGGCTCTATGAATGGACCACTAGCTGCTTTAAAGGCAGAAGCAAGTACGTTCCGGGAATTGACCAGGGCTTTGGTTAACTTGGGGAGGTTGGGGCAAATCACGTCCTCTTTCTGGTGCTCTAGAAAAATCACACCTTTGAGAAAGGCTGGCCCTAGACTGGTTCGAAAAGTCATCAACCTCCGACCTATTAGCCAGGGTACTGACATGGCTAGTGCGCAAGATGGGCTATGGCTCCTGAGGTGTCAAGACTTATTAGAAAGGTTCTCAGGTCCATCGCAAATGGGAGGTAAATGGGATGTGATGGCAGTAGTGGTTGCAGTTATTTTGCATCTTCAACTCAGACAGTTCCAGGGCCTGGATTCTTACGTACTATTTGCAGATCTCAAGCATGCCTATGATAGTGCGTCCAGGGAAGCAATGTTGGTAGCATGCTACTCCGCTGGAATTGTTGAAACAGAATGGATGCTACTCTTTGATTTTTTCCGGATGGATTCAGCGGTAATATCATTGCAAGGAATGATTTCGTCAGCATTGAAATTTGGGGCTGGCATACCACAGGGACGAAAGTTCGGGGTGCATGTCTTCACATCTGTCATGACTTTTTTGAGAGACTTGCTCAATTTGTGTTGTAATCCTGCGAAAACTATTCTTCCAGACTTTGCCTCTGATGCAATTTCCGCCGTATGGGCCAGATTTACACCGCCACCGCAAGTCCATGATCTGACCCCAGGTTGTTGCAACTGGAATTCGCCAGAAGGTATCAGGTTGTTAATGAGTGTAGCGCCGGAACAGGCACGGCGCCAAGCAATTTACACATTGGCTACCATCGCTGACAAAGATGATCGGATTGAGTTGATGGAAGCGTGTGGAAGTGTCCCGCTAGGCGCGTTAATGTTTGTTGATGACATTGTGGCGGTGTTCCCATCCCAAACTGCTGTCAATCAGGCTGTTCACCTAGGTTTACAAAGGTATGAAAATATGTTTCAGGTGGAATTCAACTTTGGGCCAACAAAAACGGCGGTGCTGCCGATGTTTGGAGCAGCAAGTGACCAGATCTCAACAGTGTTGTGCAGTGACTACAAGTTGCTTGGAGTACAGTTCGATGAATTCTTAGATTTCACTAAACGAAGTAGCCACGTCCTCAGGGTAGGAAAAGTGTTGTTTTATGAGCTGTTCAATGCTGCCTCTCATGCCCACTTTCCTGCACCTATTGTGGCTGAAGCAATTGTGCAAAGGATAGAACCTGTAATTTTGTTTGCTGCCGAGATCTGGCCTTTGGTGCCATCCTTTTACAAGCAACTCAATTCGCTCCAGGATTTTTGGGCTAAAAAGATTTTGAAGTGTAGGAGCCGTGATTTGCGGGGGCCACTGGCGGTTGCTGTTTGTGGATGGAGATTGAGGTTGGCAACTAAGGCAATTTTACGTGCAGTAATGTTCTTGGCAAAGATTGAACTACTACCCTCCTACCACCCCACACTTCTCATGTTGCGATTTGCCCAGCGCACGGCTGGGCATACTTGGTGGCGAGCGTTGGCGGATATGATGGCAGCCTATCAACCTTTGCCTATTCCGTCCCTAGTGGAATCTGGTATCCTTCCATCTCCTCATGTTTCAGGAGTCATAACTGCACAAAGGAAGCAAATTTTGCAGATGTACAAAACCAAAGTAGTTTTGCCGATACTTCAGGCTCACGACAATGCTGAGTATGATGAAGCTGCAAGCAAGTGGCTGTCTGCTTTTCAGTGTAGCGTCAGGGATTTCTGCCCCAACAGGCTTGTGCAAGGGTGGAATGTTTTAGAAGTTGCATTTGGCCATGAAGAGTGGGCGTTCATTAAGCTGACGGGGCGATGGCCTCTTTGGAACTTTCCTGATCTGGTAGGTACGGAGATCCTGACTAGCTGCCCATTGTGTGCCACGCGCAATGTTTCGGTTACCCATGTTCTCAAAGCTTGTCGGGGTACGTTGCAATTGTTTTTGCGCTCAGGGATTGTGGATTTCATTCAAGAACTGTACCTACACCCACATTCCTTATGTGCCTATTCCATTCCTCGGCTGGGGTCCAAGTGGACACAGCCCGTATCCGCTATGTGGGCTTGGTGATGCGACGTGTAGCTTTGGCGCTGCGGGAATAAATAATGCGTGGCAACGACCTGCCAATTCCAATTGGAGGTAGCGCGCCACCCATTCCCTCATCCATCTCACCAGGTGCTGGTAGGTGTTTGGGGTTTACACATGAGCAATGAGCAATGAGCAATGAGCAATATATCATTGTTGCATCCTCGTTGGGACGAACAATGCCGCGACACGATGATGACAGTCCCTCCGCAACTCACTTCTTCCCTTCCTTCTTTCTCCTACCCCGCTAGCTTTCGTCATCCACCCCCGGCCTCAAGTATATATATATATATGACTAATATATATATATATATACATACACATACATATAATTAGAACCGAGTAGTGACACTTCACGTTTGTTAGTGACGCTGCATATGGACACCATGGGGCTCTGCATTTGGCTGCCAAAGTGGTCCGTTTTGTGGGGGATTGGTGAACTTTTTCCGGTGTGATTTTCTTGGGGGATACGGTAGTACATGACCTTTAACTATATGCATAATTGCATTCCTGATACCGCGATGTGTGTGTTTGTGTCATGCCATTCCCCACCCAGGAGCTTACTCCCTGGCTGGATGGCATGGCGACTGGAAGCCACTGGTTTGGCAGCGTGGCGAGCAAGTGACAGCTGGTGGCAAAGCAGGCACACAGATTGCTGGGCATAGCGTAAGCACGGGGTACCAAATGCCGACCAGAAATGGCTAATTACTGAGTCAGACTTCAACCATCCAATTTTTGATGGCTTCGACCCAACTACAATATCTACAATTCATTCCTGCCATTTCCTGAGGGCCGCACATTCAACACATTTTGGATCTTTTTGGGAAGGGGCAGGTGCCACCTGGGCAGGTGCCACCTGGAGTTCTCATCGGAAACTGCGCTGGGCAGCTGGCGGCAAACCTATAGACGCCTATTGGGTGTCAAGATAGCCAGGAGCTTCCGGAAACAGCGAAAGCCGAGAATCAGTTTGGGTTGAACTTGGAATATCGAATCACATGGAGCCATCATGAGCCATCCATGCTTCATAAATCTTACCAATGCTTGATTGGATTGATTGCATATTTCATAATTGTCATTAGTTGTCAACTATGAATTTGATTACTAGCACTAGCAAAAGTCAAGAGTCAACAGAATAGATGCCGTTTCTGATGGAGTTCAGCGCCGCTTGGACAGTGTTTGTCCAGCATGATTCAATGGAAGTCACCCAGGATATATGCTGACAATACGCTGACATACTGTACATATACTAAACATGTTCCATGTTGTATCGTTTGATACTATAATACTAATCTATAGTCTATACGTATACTATAGATATGTTGAATTATGTTGATCCATTTTATTTGATGACATTGGGCATCCAGTATGCAGTGCATTTTGATGTACAGGACAGGTGTTTGGTGCTACACCAGCCGTCAGCATGGGCTGAACGACCGAGTGGCAGCCCCGCAGCTCTTTGTTGGGCCCAGTGGTCAGAAGCTCTTTTGCTACCTGGGCTGCAGCTGGAGCGCATTTAGGGTCCAAAATATGATGGTAAGTACTGTGAGGGATAAGTATTATGAGAGAAGTCATGAGAAGTAAAAATAGTGAGATAGATGTGATAGCACTTATATATATGATACGTATACTATATATATATGGTCCCGTCCTCCGTCTCTCCACCCCCCCCCCATGGGTTGGGTCCCCAGGTAGCAGCCCCAATTCCCTTCTATTTGCAAGCTATTGGCAGCATTTCTGAGGTCCAGCTTCGTATTTGCTAGGTCTTTGCAGCATTTCTGACTACCAGCCTCGCATTTACTAGGTACATGCTACCTTTTAGGCGACCTACGTAGCACACATACTCCTTCAAAGTACCTACGTGCTACCTATAGTCATATATACATGTGCTATGTATCTACTGTATCTACTTCCTACTTACTACCTGTGTACTCTGACAACACTACCTGTGTTTAACATATACCGTACCTACCATACATGTCAATGATGCCATGCATACCATACCTATCATATCTATCATACATACCATACATACCATACATACCATACATACATACACATGAAATGTAATTACCACACCTACCATACATACAATAGCAAACATACGTGCCGTACATACCATACCTACCTTACATAGGAAATATTCCATACCCATCATAGTAACAATATATACCATACAGACCATACATACTGTCATATCAAACATACCATACCCAACAGACTTACATACCATACCTACCATCCATACAATACCAACCACTCATGCCATACATACCATACCTACCATACATACCAAACATACCATACTTTCCAAACATGCCATACCAGACCGACCACACACACCATACATACACAACATACCATACCACACCCCCACCACACCACAGGGGGGGGAGGGGGACAGTACCACACACCCACCACGCCACAGGGGGGGAGGGGGACAGTGCTGGATCCCCAGGTAGCACCCCCCTTCCCTTCTATTTGCAAGCTATTGGCAGCATTTCTGAGGTCCAGCTTCGTATTTGCTAGGTCTTTGCATCATTTCTGACTACCAGCCGCGCATTTACTAGGTACATGCTACCTTTTAGGCGACCTGCGTAGCACACATACTCCTTCAAAGTATCTACGTGCTACCTATAGTCATATATACATGTGCTATGCATCTACTGTATCTACTTCCTACTTACTACCTGTGTACTCTGACAACACTACCTGTGTTTAACATATACCGTACCTACCATACATGTCAATGATGCCATGCATACCATACCTATCATATCTATCATACATACCATACATACCATACATACCATACATACCATACATACCGTACATACCGTACATACCATACATATGAAATGTAATTACCACACCTACCATACATACCATAGCAAACATACATGCCATACATACCGTACCTACCTACATAAGAAATATCCCATACCCATAATAGTAATCATACATACCATACAGACCATACATACTGTCATATCAAACATACCATACCCAACAGACTTACATACCATACCTACCATCCATACAATACCAACCACTCATGCCATACATACCATACCTACCAAACATACCATACTTTCCAAACATGCCATACCAGACCGACCATACACACCATACATACCCAACATACCATACCACACCCCCACCACACCACAGGGGGGGGAGGGGGACAGCGCCACACCGCCACCACACCACAGGGGGGGAGGGGGAAGATCTCATATGGGGCCAGTATATGGGACCCATCCCATGGGGGGTGGGGGGAGGGGGGGGGTGGCAGGGCCTGGTGCATATATATATATATATATATATATACGTATCATATGTATGCACATATGTGTACGATGTATACATCATATGTATATGATGGGTAAATTTGGGATATTGTGGAATAAGAAGCCATCGAGTTCTGAGATGTTCTCATGGGTATGGTGAGAACATCTTTTGGAAACACTCGGGGCCAGTACAACAAGCCAAACCCTGATAAGACCACCACTACTTGAGCTGTAATGCGAAAATACAGCATTCGAGTTGAACCAGAGAGCCATTAGGCATAATTCAGGTAACAGTTTTTTTCCATCTTCGTTTCAAGTTTGACTTAAGGCTATGGTGGCTGGAGTGATGGAGGAGTTTGAAAACGAAATTTGCGTCTACAACATTTGAGATATTTTGAAAATTTGAAATTGACACTTTTTGGCACTTGACATTTGCAATTTCCCTTTCATTTCCTCCTTTTTGGATCTGCAATGCGTTGATTTTCCGTTAACGGAGCCAGGACCTCAAACCGACCTCCACTGGGTCACCGTTGACGCCGTTCGAGATGCTGCCAAGAAGTTGTCACGAGAGGTTGACCAGTGGCGATTCCAACCGGCTGAGGTTGACCTGGGAAGGGCACGAGATCTTGTGTTAGTATATTATATATATTACATAATATGTATACATTTGGATGCATATATAATCATATAAATAAATCATATAAAACCGTGTATATATAATCACATATGTATTTATAGTCATATATATATATAACCATATTAGAAATATAATCATATATATATAATCATATATATATAATCATATATATATATAATATAATCATATATATATATAATCACACACACATATAATCATATATATATATATATTAAATATTTTATATTTACTGTATGTAATGTATTTATCTATTTGTGTTTAATGGTGTTTTTCATATATTTCTTTATTTAATGGACATCATGATGTGGCATTCAGTAGTCAAGCGCCATAATAGGGCTTCCATTGCCCGCTGTTTCGACGAACGGATCGAAGAGGTGTCCACAGGACGGCGAGCATAGTGTCAAACGTCCATGTGCTATGGGATTCCTGTTTGAAGCACCAGGCCAGTGGACAGATGTTCTCAAAGAAAAATCGTAAATTATATATATAATGTCATAATATAATTATGTTATATTATGGATACATGATACAATATGTATATTTATGTATATATATATACACATATGCATATGTATGTGTATATATATATATACATATGCATGTATATTAGATATATAATTGTCTTTAAATGCTTTGCAAACAGCCGTGAATATCATAGCTTCTCCTGATGCTGTGCAGGCTTTTGGTGCCCCAGCCAGGGCTGGCGGCGTGCAGACTCTTACACCTCTATGGTTCGGAAAAGACGGGCCAACTGAGGCCCACATTGCTACCACAGCAGCTTGATCGAAACAGTTGCCAAAATGGAGTGTTGAGCCCCAATCAAACATCCGGAACAGCCAGTCTCAATACAGAGGGTTCAAAGAGGGTTCAAAGATGAGTACCAACCAATCATCCTGTCCCTAATCTCAAGCTCCAATGTCAAATGCAGCCAAGGCTGAGAAGCTGCAGCGAGGCCAACACAGGGCTACGGATATTGAAGTTGGTGCTGCACTGGCGGGGGCACTCAGATGCTGAAGACTCGAAGCAAAGCAAGTGTCTAAGTATGTCTAAGTATGTCTAAGTGTTGGAAGGACTTTTGAAGGCGTTCTATAGCTGTTTTCGGTTACTCGGCGCATTGGCTGCTTTCGGTTCACCACGGCCTCCAGGATCCTGCAGGACTGCAATGGACTGTAATGGACTGCATAGTTTTGCGTATGATATTGCGTGATATTGATTGATATTGCGTGATTGCCTAAGAGTGACTAAGAAAGGTGTGTCCGATATTTTCAGGTCATGGCCTTTGGTGGTGGTGGTGGTGGCTATCGACATGAGCACAACAGTTGGGCAATCGGTGTGTTGCAAGAAGGCAAAGGCGCCAAAGCGCAGCGTCGCGCAGCGTAAGGTGGACATGATACTTGTATATACTTGGCATGATATACCAGACAAGACTCTGCGGAATTCTACGGACTATATCTGATCTATAAAACTGTATAAATATATATTCAGATCTATAGATATAGATGATTTTAGATGTATTCAGCTCCTCTGTGTTTTTATGTTTCCTCGGTCGAGGGTTGGTGACTGAAGGTGACTGCGACATCCTTTCCATTCCTTTGCATAGACTCCCACCACACTGTTTTTCGTTTGTTTTCATCTTGCAATCTGCATTTAGATTCTGAAGCGAGAAAAATACCAGCAATGCTGGCCAATATTCCTTGGCATTGAATGAGGAAGCATGAGGAAGCATGAGGAAGCATGAGCACCGCCAGTCCCAGATTCCCCAAAACTTGCAGCATGAGTAGCTGCCGAACTTGCGCAGGCAGTAATTCTTCCAAGATCTTGTGGGGCCGGCCTGAGCAAGGTGCGGCCACGATATACCACGATCCAAAAATGCAAGGAGATAGTAATAGCTCAGAATGATTCAATTAAATGTTTGAACATTGGGAGACTCTGTTGTGCATGAATTTTGATGGAAAAACATAATCACTTCAAATTGAGTAACATTATTAATCAATATTAATCAACTATTTTTTGGGGGGGCTAACATGTTTCAGACAAGCCCAGATCAGCTGCATGTCATCGGCATGTGTGCCAGGTTCCTTGGATCAGGAGTCAATCCTAGATCCATGGCAGCCAACAGCACGTTGCGCACACTCAGCGACCTACATCCATTCAAGGCCAGTCTCTAAACGTTTCAAACAGCTGATGAGGTGGAAGAAAGACATGAAGAGCCAACTTGCCATTGCTTGCCGTCTGGGTTTTGACAGGTTTTGATAGCTGTTGTGCAGTTGGAGTATTTTTTCAAGGCATATTCTGCGGATTTCTGCGGTGGTTTGTTGATAGTTGTTTTTTCACCTACAGCAAAAATGCAAACGGTTTCTTGCAAAGGTGGCCGGACCGGCTTGGAGAAAGATTTGGGCTGGGTTTGATCGGTTTGATGTGGAGATTTTTGGGCTCACACTTCAACATGGGAGTCACACAAAGGTATGATTGGTTCTCCGAGCGTGTCAGCTCAGAGTATCGTGGAGTTATCATCAGTGCCGGATTTCCATCTTGTTTCCCCCCATCCATCATTTGCATTGGTAATTGCACACATAGTTGCATCTGAATAAGCCAATCCACACCCGCTTGCCCTTATGTTTTACCATTTTCTACCATGTCCTACCGAAACCATCCAATACGCTGCCCAAGCGCGTGAAGACGAGAGACCCAATCCTGCAACATCGCATACTATGACACTTCATGACACTTATACAGTTTCTCAGAAACTGCCATTGGCAAAATGTCGATGAAGGGAGGGTCATTCTTTCAATCCGGGTTGTTCCTGGCAATTTTCAATATTTTCCATATTTTTTCTCGGAGGACGATTTTTTGCAGGAATTATCTTTTCCCCGTTTTGGACATGTTTTTTGTTTTCCCTGCTTCTTTGCTTTTCTGCCTTTCTTCCTTTCTTTGCTTGACTGCTTCTTCACTGTTCTGCTTCTCTGCTGTTTTCTGCTTGTTTGCTTCTCAAGCCTAGGTAAACCCCAAGATGCATGATATAAGTACTCCCTAAACCAACTTTTTGAAAAAAGCTAAAGCAACTCTAAGTAAACCCTAAATACATCCTAAAATCTGAAACTTACCCTAAATAAACCCAAACTAACACCCAAAAAAAACAAAAGCAACCCTAGGTAACCCCCAAACAAACCTCTGAAACTTACGCTAAATAAACCCTAAACCAGCCCTAAATAGATTGTTAAACCCACCCCAAATAGATCTTCAACCAAACCTCAAGAAACTGAACCAACTCTAACTAAAGCCTAAACCAACCTTAAATAGAACATAACTATATAAATCTTAAACCACGCCTAAAGAAACCCTGAACCTTTAAACCAACCCTACATAGATCCTAAACCAACCCTAAATATTACCCAAACCAACCCAAAAACCAACCCTTATATATATATATAACAACAACCAATGAAAAAAAACCAAACCAACCCTAAACCAATCCTAAAATATCCTAAATAATCCTAAAATATCCCAAATGTATAAACCCCAAAACGAACCTACGCAAAATACAATCCAACATGAAAAGTTTGAGCACCAAAATGTTGCAAATATCATGGAAAATGAGAGGTTCGAACTCCAAAGTGTTGCAATACCGTTGAAATGGCAGCTTCCAGCTCCAAAATGCTGCGAAAACGGGCAGAACAGCAGATGCAAAAAAAACAACACGGAAAAAATAATTCCCAAAATAATTCCGGACCATTTTGCTTTCAACCTCCTGCAGGTTTGCAGGCATGGATGAGGGCTGCGTGATGATTTTTGGTGGTCACACCTCCCATTGCACATCGAGCCTGGCCAGTGCAGAGCCTCGGTGCCATTTAGGGTGCCCATGTTTTTTTCTTTAAAGCGGACTTCAAACAGCGTTATTTTTGTAAACATATGCCTAATGACTTTATATATTTTATATAGACTATTTTAGGCATATACATTTTCACTTACGAAACGAGAAGACAAGGAATGGATGAAACATGAGGAAACCACATTGTTTATGTAGAGCCGGTCTTGGCCAGGACTCTGCTCGGCTGCTCGGCCCGTTCTCCTGTTCTCCTGTTCTACTGTTTGTAAGTGCCAATAAGTGCCATGTCCGTCATGTCCATGCCGACTCGACTTTCGGAGGTTTTTTTTGTTTTTTTTTCGGAGGTTTTAAGCCTTTGTGATCCTTTGTGATCCTTTGTGATCCTTTGTGCCGGGGTCTGCTGATTTCTGACAGGAAATGCTCTCCTTGAACGACTGGCAGTGGCAGCCTTTGAATCTGCAAAAATCTGAAGCGTTGGGAGAGGACTGACGAAGGCTGTGTCTAGGGTCAGAGTCATGGAGAGTTCCATTATATAAACGGTTTTGCCGTGGTTTGCTTAAGTTCAAGAGATTCAGTACGCTTACCTCCTCATCCCCTTCCAGACTCTGAAACCAAGCACCTTCCACTCAATTTACTCACCCAGCCTTGCTCAGAAGCCCCTGATTCCACAGCAAACAAGAGGACTGGGAAATGCCACCACGCCACGGGCACAGCACCACTTTGTTCGAGACTTGGCCTTGGCCACTGCAGGAAATCATTCCGAGATTTCCACAGAGCACAGATGAGCACAGACTTTGCAGTCATTGCAAGGGTTGGTTGTTCAGGTATTTGTTTTTGGTCGCCACCCAGTGGTTGAAATAGAAGTAGGTTTTCTCTTGTTGGAATATCCTGTGATATTCTGGAGCTTTAAACTTGATCGCTCGGCCAGCTGTGGCACAGCATCAGGAAGTAGATGGCAAAGGATACTTGGTGGTCCTTGGAGGCGGGAACAGTTATTCAACTTGTAGGGACTGCTCAAATCTGCTCGACCAAGTGTCGATGTATGTCGATGTAACGTTGGCCTGTGCTGTAGGTGGAACTGGCAACATCTTGGACAATTTCGGTGTGCATGACATTGGAGACGTCGCAGTGCTAGCCATCGAATCCTGGAAATGGATTGGTCACTACCGCCTCTCCGGAGATATTATCCCTGGGCGGCATCACACAGCTTGCCGTGGCATAGGGAACCAGTTGCTGGTCATGGGTGGTGGACGACGACCAAGCGACAAGGCACAGATAATCACAGAATTCACAGATGTTTGGCCACTGTTTGTTGATATTTTGTTGATCGTTGGCTCATGTTTGCTCCTGGGTGTTCAAATACCTTCAGTTTCGTTCAAGAAATTTCAAATGCAACCAGTTCATTTCCGTTCCTGGATGGCAGCTGTGCGATTTCACGGTGCAGCTTTTCACATCGCAACAGGTTTGTGTGATGGATGCGGAAGCTTGTATTCATCGTGCAGTCATGGGAGATGCTTTGGGTGAAGTGGAACTTCGAGAAGTGCCATGCAGTAGCGCGAGGTGGGGTTGGGAATGTTGGGAAGGAGCTGTTTGGATTTATTTCTGACCATTCTTGCCTATGCTCATTTTCATGTTGGTTTCATGGGGCACTCCACTGGAAGCACGTGGAAGCTACGGCCCTGAAATACAGCATGCCATGAGCAAATGCAAGCTCTGCAGTCCAATTCCTACACCCACACACACATCATGATGTTATCATATACATTGCTTCCGTGTGAAAGACTTGCTAAGATCAACGCCACATCGCTCTCACCCATCCTGACAGAAATTTGATCAAATATGGCCTGTCGGAAACGGCTGACTGCAGGTCGCCCGAGGAGGGAGACTTGGCTGATGTAAAGTGGCTGATCGAAGCAGAATCGAAGCATATCGAAGCTGCAGGTTCTGTAAGTTGTTGTAAGTGTTTTTCATTAAACTTGGTCGCCATTTACGAATCTAAGGCAGGGCACAATGCTCCCTGCCCACAGGGCGCAAGATGCATGGCGCGGCCAGTTTGGCACCTTTCGCGCCCCTCTTTGTCATCTATGGTGGGTGGAAAACAGGCATCCTGCATCATCTTGCCGCTTTGGGAGGGAACATTTGAAATGCACATTTCAGACAACCACGGAACATGTGCATAATTCTGCTGCCAACAACATGACATGTCGCAAGAGGTCACTAAGGGATTGGATCCGTTCAAATCTGAACAACAGTCTGCTTCAAGCACGATGGGAAGGCCCTCATTTTAGCGATCTCTGGACCTTTGCCATTGGCGCAGATGCGTCTGACCTCGAGGCACCAGAAACGGCCGTGGTTCGGACTAGGGTTGTTAAACGTTGTTAAATGTTGTTAAGTTAATGTTGTGATTGGGACGCTGCTTCTTTACTGTTGGGGTCGTTGTGCTTGTGATTGCCATGGTTCTACTTTCAGTTGTAGTCGCCCTGGTAGTCCCTGGTAGTCGCTCCTAACTTCGGTTGGGGAGATCTCATTCTCATTCTTCAGCAACTATTCTTCAGGACCTATCCTTGTTCTTCCGGGAACTATTCTTCAGGAACTATTTTGTAATATCCAGGAATTAACCCCCTGCCAGGCCTTCCCATCCCCCGGTTGCACGACTCTTGCGAATAATTTATATGTACTTTTCCTTCCCCCTTGCATCATGTGGTTTCCGCAGACACGGTGTTGGTGTTGGTGTTGGTTGGTCTTGGTTGGTCTTGGTTGGTCTTGGTTGGTCTTGGTTGGTGCTGGTGCTGGTGTTGGTTGTTCGTTGTTTTTTGTTGCTTGTTGATTGGTGCTTGTTGCTTGTTGCTTGTTGCTTGTCGTTGTCGTTGTCGTTGTCGTTGTCGTTGCTGTTGCTGTTGCTGTTGCTGTTGCTGTTGCTGTTGTTGTTGTTGTTGCTGCTGCTGCTGCTGCTGCTGATCACGTTCATGTTCATGTTCATGATTCATGATTCATAATATTGCATGAATTTTATGATATTTCATAATGTTTCATAATAATTATTATTCTGTGAGGTGGCTGAGCAATATCAAAATCAGAAGTTGACACTTGCACGCACACACTCCGGTGTAGAAAGAACAACAATTGAAGATGCGTGTATAGACTGTAAAGGCAATCATGTGGATATGCACACATACATCCACAATCACATGTTCACAGTGGCTATAACATCCATCTTTTGTACCCGGCCTGTGAGAGAGAGAGGGAGAGAAAGAGAGAAAGATAGAGAGCGACATGGAGAAGGAGTTTCGATCATTCTTGCACATTTTTTTGCGATCCATACACGCAGACTGTTTGAGATGGGAAGCTTGCCTTTGCTGCATTTGTCAATAGCTGGCAGCGTGCCACAGGACTTCCAAGCTCTTGAACGACAAAGTGAACAAGAGGCTGATGATGGTTGCTCGCCAGCCCAAAGGTTGAGCTTGCATGAAACAGTGGGCGAGAACAGAAACTTATTTTTCACATTCAACAAGTGCGACCAAGATGCGATGCCTGATTCCCCCTTCGTTGGCGTGCGCATGATGGGCCCTGATGGTCAAGCTACTTGGAAAAATCCAATGTTTCTGCACTTTGTGTGCTTTTGATCACTTGCAGTGTGTCGAAATTAGGGGCAGAAGTTCGCTTGTGATGGTCGGATTGGCTCACCTGTGACCGTCGATCATCCCCACCTCACAGCATCCCACCTGCCCCATGTGAACCTTGGCATTATGTCCATCTGAAAGGTCAAGTGAGTCAAGTGAAAGCGAGTGGAGGATGAGCATCCAGCCCGTGTGCAATCCCAGTGAACGCGACCATCCCTACCTCACTCCACATTCCACTCACATTGTAGTGTCGCAGGTGAGCCGATGTGACAGTCGCAAGTGAACCCCCTGCCAAACTGGACTACTTTGGGATAAACGACCAAGGTGCGGATGATGCGTATACCGAGCGAGTTGCTGCACCAGAGCTGCAAAGAGACATGCACAGAGTTTCTTGTCATGCCCGTGCCATTGAGGGCCATCAGTTAGGGTCCGCAATGGTGTAAGCTGTGTCTATCTGTGTCTCAAAGCCTAAGCCCTGAGGAGCCAGTTTGTGCGGCAGGGCATGGTCCGCCGTGTGGGCCACTTGCCATAACGAGAGTCAAGATGAATTGTGGTGTGGGTCCTCTCAGGGGGACAAAAGCTTGGACAAGAGCAACCACAGAGCATGTTCTAAACATTTCTAAACAACAAAGGAGTTTGGCGATGTTTGGATTTGATCCAAAATGTTCCAATGCCTCGCAGAGTGTTCAATCGAACTTGGGATACTTATATAGGTGATTTAAGGATATTTTAGGTGCATATGCTTTGGGCATCTTTGGGTGTCCCAGTGTTTTGCCAAGTTGCGGATTCAACCGACGACAATGACTGAAGCCGAAGCGGATACTCCCGAGTGGTGATGTTTCACCTATACGGCTCCGTTGTACGAAAGTGAGCGCTCACGATTTTCAACAGCAACTTTGCTGTTCTCTGTAGATAGTGATGGTCCCCATTAAGACAAGATCTGGTGTGCGATCTGGGAAGAAACAGTCCTGCAAGCATGTGCATCGACACTGTTGATGCTCAATGCAGAGAAAGATGTGCAGCTCTAAATTCTTGAAGCAAATGCATCCTGTGGTACCAGGAGCGAAAACAATTATATACTGAGAGATGCTGCATTGGTTATAGCCGCTTGTGGAATAGTTTCCATCTCTTCACTCTTGAGACACAGAGCTATCGTAGCCATCATTCTCTACTATCCAGATCAACAAAGTCAAGATAAATTGGGTTCTTTGGTGGAGGCCTTCAAATCACTTCAAACCATTTCAGCATTGAAAAGAAGCAAGGCATCAAGTTCTACAACAAGTTCTACAACCTTCACAATACCTTCACAAAATGCACAATTTCTCCAATTTCTCCTGCGAATCATCCCCGGCCACATTGATCCAAATCCACATTGCGCAATGGGAGATTCAGAGCCGACCCTACTGGCAGATGTTCAGCACTACAAGGAGCACTACAAAGACACTTGGCATCACTTGGCTTTGTTGCGAGGGTTCCAGGGTTCCAGATTCCCTGGCTTTCTCACTGTGTCGCTGGCTTTCTCGCGGTGCCATCCTACCATCTCAATCCAGAAAATCTCATTGGAACATATTAGAACCCCTGCCATATGACTGACGCCAAGGATATGTTCCATGAGATGGAGATCTTACGTGTCCTTCCAAAAGAGGATGTCACAGAATTCCGATTAGTGTCGAGACAGCCAAGCCGTCGTACCGTGGAGGTAACGCTCAATAGCAGCTGCTTTCGAGTGATGACGGACTCTCAGGAAGGCCTGAAGGATCAAACATTTGAATCCTTCGAACCTCAACTGCAATCGACGGCATATTTCCGAAGGATATCGACGGGTGATTCGGAAAAACATCTCAGGACAATTCTCAAGACTGCCTTCTACTTTCAATTTGTTCCGTGATGTCGTTTTGTTGTGAATGTGATCTTAATATAATTTAAGATATCTTAATATATCTTAATTATACGTACGTATACTTGCCCGTGGTTTTCATGTTTTCGCTGATTCTTAGGAACAGCTTCTCAGTGCCCTCGATGGCGCTGATGCGTTTGGTTCTAGACTCTGTGACCTGGTGAGCCAACAACTGGCTGCAGAGATGGCAGGATCGGATGAGCAGCAGCTGCGATGATCTTAGTGCCAACATGTGCCAACCAGTGTGAACGATTCTGGGCACATCAAAGCAATGGACGGAATTCCCTTGAATGTTTGCCTCGTTGTCGTTGTTGCTGCTGCTGTGCTTGTTATATGATATTAACATATTAAAATGATAGATAATATATTAATAATTTATATCGTTTTTTATATATCGTTTGAATTGCTTTTAATTGTGCATATGTGCATATGAAAATAATTAGACGATGAATATAGACGTATACTGGATATGAATATGTGTATGTGAGTGTTTTTCTCTCTTGTTGAGTAGGCGTGATCCACCCAGTCCATCGAGAGACCTCTGCGCACAGTGATGCCTAGCGGTTTGGCATTGGAGGAAAACAGCGAGCCTTCCAGCAGGAGAAGTGGGATATTGGTTGCATGTGTTTGCATCATCCACCCATGGACATCCATGGACTATTTCTGGTGAACTTTGATTGTTCAAACCCCTGGACGGCATATCAAAAGAGAATATATAGATATATATAGGATACATATAATATATATACATATATATCGTATAACTCTCGGTTGCATCAAGATCATGGTTGATTGGATCATGCTTGTGCCTTCAGACCGATTCCTTGCGCCATGTGTTCCCATCCTGTACCGGTTCTTCTGATAGCTTTTTGCATCTCCCTCTGGCAGCTGACACAAGGTTTCCTTAGACAAGAGCCTGGGAAGCAGGCGCGGGGATCACTACTATGGAGCTTGTGATGTTTTGGATTGTTGTGGGGGCATTGTGGAACTGTAAGGCAGTTATACAACGTTATACAGTACACATAGTTTGCATAAAATGTTTGCATAATGTTTGCATATATGCTTTGACATGCATTGACTGATATATTCTCACTGTCCAAATGTTCCCAATGATGTTGAGCTCTAGTTCTTTTTCAGCCTGATGGATTCACTAGCTGCTTCAGGCCTCAGGAGTCCGAAGGTAGGACGGCCCAGTGGAACGAGTCGTGTGTTGCTTTGGTTTGGACGGGTAGCCAAGACTTCTACTGGAAGAATCTGGAAGAATCTGGAAGATGGAGTGGAGTTGATGTCTTCTGATATCAACCAAAGTGATGGGCATGTACAGGCATTGACTGACAGAACCGGATGGAACCGGATGGAACCGCATGATATGAAATGATGTGCCTCGATTCCTCAGGTGAGCCTGATGAGAAGGACCAGACGTAGTCTCACAGTTAAATGAGTTCAATGAGCAATAGCCGGGGACTTTGTGACACTGGTTGGCGTTGTTGGCAAAAATTCTGTAACAGGGGTTGCAAGTGCATCCCAGGCTTTTGGCGTTGACTTGACATTTCAGGACTAATTCACACCCGATATTTGGCTAGGGCTATGGATTATCCAATAGACGAGGGGAGTTATCCCCTTCCATTTCAGCCATTTCCGGTTCAACTGAGGTCTCACAGAAGGCAGATGAGATGAGCCGCGAGAAAATTCCATGGCAAAAGCCCAGCAAGCTGCAGCCGTCAAAGTTTATTTGTGATGGACTGAAACTTGCGGGACAGCCCCACAGCTTTTGGGTTTACAGATGTTTACAGCCATTTTTCCTCTTTGATTTTGCCAGTTTTGCACACTTTTGGGGTTTGGAACGGTGGGGCTATTGGTTTGTTTATATGATTTTATATGCAGTATGGATGAATTTAATAATGCATATAGTCATAGTCATGGTTGAATCTGGATAATATGGACAGTTCTGACAACTGTGCTGAATGTAATAATTGCTGGCATATTGCATCAAGAGCACTTGCTTCCCATGAGCTCAGAAGTCCTCCCTAACTGGTAATTAGGATGAAGGGTCTGCAAAGCACATTTCCGAACATATAGTCATTGCTCGTTAGAGGGTGCGGCTCGTGGCTTTGGACTTTCGCACCACAACCATGCACAAACCTTGATGCACCACACAGCCAGTCTGACCAGTCCTGCAGCTACAGCCACGGTCAAAATAGAGAATAAAGCTGCATCAAATCGGCGAAAGGTGCGAATCCTCAAATTTTGAGCAATTCAGCAACTGCAGTGCAACATGAACAACCTCGCTCTTCCTTGAGTTCCCGTTGTGTAGACGCGATGATAGATGACTGCAGCACTGCAGATGAAAGCTTTGTGGAGTTGCAGGCTTCGGGCCATCAATGCCTCGAATCCAGACACGACTTTCAACCTGCCTACTTGTCTTTTTTTTAAGCGTGATGGAGCTTTTGCAGTAAAGCGTTCTCGCAGCCAAAGAATTGAGCAGGGCTATTCACTTTGAAGTATGAAATGGGGGCCCTTCACCAAGACCCCTTCGCCAGGCCATTTTGGCAGGTCTTCCCATGCACGCGATACCGCATGGGGACCGCAGTACCATGCTCAGGGGGCTGAAATTTGGACGCACACCTTCAACCCCGGAAGTGCCTATAAGGTTGTGGTCCAGAAGTATTCTTGTCGCTGCTTCTTTGCAAATAGAGGGGCGGTGTATGGCGGTGTATCATTTGTCCAGGAAAGGCAGGCGCTTCCTCAATTAGTTTGATCAGTGTCCCCTTCACCCCATTGGCATCAGCGACATGGCCACCAGATGTTTGAAACTGCTTAGGTGCCGAGGGCCACGAAAGTCTCAGATTGATGAAGGGACCTGCAAGCGCCGAGTCGAGGCACAATATGGGATTATATATATATATTATCAAACCATTATATATATAATTATTTATATATACGCAATATATATATGCTTACATCACTTATACCTTTTATGTTCATTATAAATCGTGATGGCGATGGCGGTGGGGAGAGATCTAGACAGAGGGAAATACTTCTTTAGAGAAAGGAAGAAAAATAGATAGCCGGATATAACGGATATAGATATTTTCATTTAAGAGTGGTTTAGATAAACGGCGCCCCTTCTTGGACTCTAGACCAATTTTTTACAATCAGGGCTGAAGAAGATGTTTCACGTGGGCAGGCCATTCTTTCTAAAGCCGCTCGGGAATATCCGGGTCATGAGCATGTGCTCCGGCAATTGGAAGTGGAATTCGCCAGTGGAGAGCTTGGATACTAAAGCACAGTGCCACACATTGCCAGGTCCGTGCTTTCGGAAGTGTTGTGGTGGTGTGACCAAGGTTTAGATCTGGTATGCTTTGTAGATCACCGACGACGACGGCTGTTTGCAGCTGTACGTGGAACAGATCTATCCATGAACCGTTGGACCACCCACGAGGAATCTTGTTGCAGAGGTGGCGATAGCAATATCATACGTATACGTGTGAATAACTCTCTCTATATATATACATAGTCATATAGTCAAAGATATATAGTTATACTGCCTAGAAGTGCACAACACTTAACAGCGCGCATGTATGTAATGTCATGTAATGTAATGTAATGAAATGTAATTAATTGTAATGTAATGTGATGTAATGTAATGTATGGCCTTGCATTGTATTGTATAGCATTGTACGTATTGTCATGTATTGCACGCATTGTCATGTATTGTACGTATTGTAATGTATTGTCATGAATTGTCATGTATTGTCATGTATTGTCATGTATTGTCATGTATTGTTATGTACTGTTATGTATTGTCATGTCAAGTTTGTATTGTACGATTGTACGATTGTACGTGTTGTTATGTATTGTTTCTATTGTAGGTATTGTATGTGTTGCTACGTATTATATGTATTGTTATTTGTATGTTTATGTTTGTAATATATGCTATGTATGTTTTGTATGTCATGCATGTCATGCATGTTATGCATGTCATGCATGTTATGCATGTTGTGTAATCTAATCTAATCTAATCTAATCTAAATCTAAATCTAATCTAATCTAATCTAATCTAATCTATCTAATCTAATCTAATCTAATCTAATGTAGTAATGATAATGTAATGTGCAATGCAATGTAGTGTAGTGTAATAATGTAAAGCAAAGGTAAGTGTAATGCAATCTAATCATGTCTAATCTAAAATAATCTAAATCCTAATGCAATACGATGGAATGTAATGTAGTAGATGTTATATATATATATATATGCATTCACAACAAAATATACATCGCTTTAACGACATAAAAATGTATGAAAGTGTTGCAGTGTCGCGCACAGTATTTCAAAAAGAGTTCCCTCTGTCTTGGAGTTGTCCACGGACCACGGGACCACGTGTGATTCAACCCGTCGTGATTCCGATCCGCTGCTGGCTGGCCTCAGGACATGAGAAGCAACATGCACCTCATATTGGGATACAGCCTCTTGGTGGCAAGATGTGGCAAGGAAGAACCTGCAGCGTTTCAGATGTTTCAGGAATTTCAGGTTGTCAATTGCTTGGGCACTGTTGAGATATTGGCATGGGAACAAGAGAACTTGTGTTTTGACGTGTTCCAGCGGCAAAGGCAGTTCTTGATACTAGTCGATCGTTATTGCATATTATGATTATGGCCAGGTCCAAATGCAAAAACATGTGGAGCCTAGGGCAATGCAATGGATGAAAGCACAGCAAGAAATGACGTGAGGGGCCATTGTTATGAGTACAGAGCAGGTGCTAGTTTGTCTTTCCATATCCTTCCATGGAGGGAAAGGAAAGCACATAGCAGTTCATAGTGGCCGTTGCTCAAACAACGATCCAAGGGGGTTGCCTTGCTAATGTTTTTTTGTTTTCGTTTTCCCTCATTCTTACTCAGTACATTTCAAAACCATGCGCAATTTTCCCTACTACTGCAGTTGTCGCTTGGGTTGCTTGAAACGCAGACTGTGGAATGCTGCGGAACTTAGATCCACCCAGAGCAGAACGCGCCTTAAAAGAATATCTTGCCGTTCGCAGCCGCTTTGGAAGATATGCATCTCGGCCAACATTCTCTTTCGATCTCTTTCGGGTCTTGTGACCGCAGGACACACATCATCACGTGCAAGTGTGAAGGTACAGCATGCGGAGAGTGTTCTTTGGAGTTTGAACTTTCAGGTGTGAATCTACCGACAACATACGACAACAAACAATGCGCATCAACACGCATTCTGCTGGCAAATCCCTCCCATTATTGGATCTAACGTTGCGGCCTGGGCCTCCAATGCCAATTCCGTTTGAGGTTTCCTTTGCTTGTGGCCACTCATTGGGTGGTGCTGTGGTCTTGTTTGTGGTGACTTGGCAGGATGTGGTTGCAAATGTTTCCAACTAGCTGAACCAACACTAGTTAAAAAAGGGTAATTACTGTGTTCAGTATGGGTAAATTTGTTCCATTGCACTTGAATTCAGAGGGTGTTCAGAAGAGCTTTCCCATTGGTACCCATCAAGAAGAGATGCTGCTGATGTTTTGCAATTTGGTTGCGCCCCCTCGAAGATGACACCAAAGAAGTATTTTTCGGCCCCATACTTTCCGCCACCTTTTTGCTGTAGGCGAGGGAGTGTGAAGAAAATCCAGACACCGCTTTTCAGCGTGTTGACGTCTTCAACACTGCGACTTGGTATTACTTGGTGAACTGAGCGTGCCTTTAATACTACTCGTAGATCTCGTAGCTATTCTCAAGCTGCTGTGATCGATGTCGCTTGAGTCTGGTTGTCTCTTCGCCAGTCTTTGCCCCATTTCAATCTGCGTCAATCTGACGAACCCTATGCATCCGTTAGGCCACGTCTCCATTGGCAACGCCTTTGGTTCCGTTTACCACGTCCACTCATTTTCACCGCGTGAAAGGGGATGCTTGGAAGATCTTAAATATTCTTAAATGATTTGATCTTATGATTTCAACATTTTTTGGCAATATTTTGACAAGGCAGTAAGTGCCGAACTAGTGGCACGCTACCCTTTCCTTCTCTTGACCTTCGGCGAATGTTGAGGACTGGGCATCCCTGGCCCTGGAGCAAGTTGAACTTAGCCATGGCCAGGCACAGGGGTTCGGAAAGGGGCACTAGGGAGCGCTGGATAATGATGGAACAGTTTGCCTTGGATGGCCAACCCCGTTAAAAACCGTCTCAGCAACTACGGCTCAGCAATCACGGCTCGGCAACCAACCCTTGTTTCGCTTCAGCAACCAAGGGTTGCAACTACGGCCCAGCAAACAAAAGAGCATTGTACTTGATTCCACATCATTTTTTAAACCTGCCAAAGTCCTACATGCATCTACATGCAATAATAGTCCTCAATTCACAGCCCTTCCAAAAATTCTGATCACGATTCCAAGTCATTTTTTAAACTTCCCCCCAAAGCCCTGCACGCAATGGTGTTCCTCAATTCAGCTTTGTCCTTCCATGAGTTCTCATCACGATTCCAAGTCATTTTTTAAACTTCCCCCCAAAGCCCTGCACGCAATGGTGTTCCTCAATTCAGCTTTGTCCTTCCATGAGTTCTCATCACGATTCCAAGTCATTTTTTAAACTTCCCCCCAAAGCCCTGCACGCAATGGTGTTCCTCAATTCAGCTTTGTCCTTCCATGAGTTCTCATCACGATTCCAAGTCATGTTTTAAACCTCCTCCCCCCAAAGCCCTGCACGCAATGGTGTTCCTCAATTCAGCTTTGTCCTTCCAATAGTTGAGCACGGGGTGTGACATTTATTTTCCATGTAGTTTGACTTGTTTTGCTGGTTGCCGACAATCTCCTTCGTTTCCGACAGCATAGTTTCCTCTTCTTAGTTGCCAAAACATGGTTGCCCAGAATATAGTTTCGGAAGCATGGTTTCAGAAGCATGCTGACAGAAGCATAGTTTATCGTGCTTGGTTGTCGAAGCATAGTTTCCGAAGCAGAAGTCCACCGGCTAACCCAGCCTTTTTTTTTTGCGTGAGGCTGGTTCAGGCTCAGACATGTAGATGTTGAAAGACTTTATAGTTTTGGGATGTTTCCGTACGGTACGTTTCCGCTTCCTCCAGCGTCTTGAAACAGGGCGCAACAAGCTTGGCGTCAAATCAGCCCTTTGATGTGCTGTGTGTCCAGGTCCATTTGCACAGCCCAAAGGAGTCAGTTCCAGACAAGCACGTGCTTCTTCATTTCTTGCCCAAAAAGGCCTGGGAAGCGTTGCACTTCCAAAACAGACCCGGTTCCATTTGCCAGGTGCTATGAATCCGAAGTTGACGTTTTCCGACTGGATTTCCGGTATTGACATGTATTGACATAGATGCCACATAGGGGGTGATTGTAAGGTTCCTGTAAGATGTTTGCAAAATTGACAGTTTTTGTCACTTCTGGTTTTGTGATGTTTTGTGAGTCATATTTATGGTGCAAATTTAATTTGAAAGGCTAGAAAAATAGCATAAAGTTGTGCGAAAGATTGGAAAGCCAAGGAGGTCAAGAAGATGCGCGGCTATCCTGCACCCATCCATACACACTTCCGCTCGAGGTGGACAATGCGGATGATCAGTCGTGCTGTTTGAGCGAAAGCGTCGATGCTAGGCGAAGGATGCTGCGGATGGGATGGCATCTCAAGACCACCCTTCTCAAAACTTCGCCAGATTATCCAGATTTCACCAGATTACCTGCCTGCATGATAGATCGTGGGAGATTAGATGTTTCACGTTGCATAGTGAGGGGAGGTGGCACAACGCTGGTGCATGGACACCTGCCAAGGGTCCTAGAAGAATGGTGACTCAAAATTCTGTCAAGTGATGGCCTTGTATCCTTTTGTAATTTGTAATGTCCTGTATTCTAAGTCGCATCAAGGGCTTGAAGAAAGTTCATGAAAGAGATGTCCGGTTGCATAGACTTTTGCTTCAAGACGGCGCAGCATCATGCGCCGTGGAAGCTAAGGACAACCGTGACTGCCTGTCCTCAACATCCATCTCTCCACCTGCGACCTGCCAGGAGACAGATGTACATTGGACGATGATGATGATGATGATGCTGATGATGATGATGATGATGATGATGATGATAGTTTTGATGATGTTTTGGATGATGAGGAGGAGGATGCTGATGATGGACTAGATTTTAGGATGTTTTAGGTAATTTTTGGGTTTGCGTTTGATACTAGTTCTCTATATAGATTCCCGTAAATTTGACACTTGAATACACTTGAAACATATTGAAAGTTGATTTCTCTTTGATCAATTGATTTGGACATGGTCGCCTAGTCTTGCGTGTCAGGAGGATGGATCTGCCATTCAAAAAGTGTCAAAACCTGCGTGGTGGGCATTGCTTGGAAGCTGTGCCCTGTGGCCCAAGGGAAGGAATGCTTGGAGATGCACGCCCCTTGCTTAGAGACACAAGTCCGATCGACAAGTTTAGCCTTTGAATTTGGGTTCTTACAGCACCTTTTGCCCGAACCATAGTGGAATCGGTGATGAGCATAGGATCCTCTTTCCTTGACCTTTTGGGTCTTACTCTCCCGGTTGGAAGCTGACAGTTGAGCTGTTTGAACCCCAAGGTGGGAGTCCAAAGAAAATCCATGTCGGTGGCTTGGGATGGCGCAAACTGCAGGATGGACATAGCAATGTGCGTTGGTAGGTATAGCTTGACCAGACAGATTTCCTCGGTTTTCCTCGGCTAAGGCAGCAGCGGAGAAGCCCTGACATTGCAACTGGCGTGTGGCCCTCAGAACTTGCTGGCAACACATTGCAGGGTCCTTCTGTTCGTGCGATTTAAATCAATTTCATGCATTAGTATGAGAAGATCACTTGATCCACGCCAAAACGAATTTCGCACAACAGTTTCTTCGAGCAGATTTTTTCTCACACTGGAATGAACAGGCTCAATAGTTATTCAGATTAAAATTGTCAAAAAGATATACGAAGTATATCGAATTATACATTATATATGTCAAATTACGGAAGCCAGCCTAGGCTGTGGTTTTGATGTTTTGCATATGTGAGATTAGGAAGCCCACGGCCTGAGCAGTGCAAAGCTTCCCATGAGACTTCGCAGGCCATAGTTTGACTCTCCGTTCCAGTCCTAACCTTCCGGTCTTATGCTTGGGTATACGGTATAATGATATAAATCCTTGCAGACATATTTAAAAAAGAAGTGTATGTGTCTATTCAACCCTTGAAACTTCGATAGCAAACTTTCAACATTCAGCAAACATAATTAAGCTGTGAGCTGCAAACTTTCAAACCTTCGAAATAAATTTTAAATATTGAACCTTCGACCATCAATATTGATATTTAAATGCTTGAACATCAATATTCATATTCAAATTTATACGATTTTTGAAATATTTATTTATTTATTATAAATTAAACAAATATATGTAATAATTTAGATAAATTGGATTAGGATAAATTGATGTATATATATATATAAATAATAATAATAAATATTAATATAAATATATATATATATAATATAATAATTATTAAATTTTTTAAATAAAAAATACAAAATTATATTATAATTAAAAAATATTTAAATATTTTAATTTTTAAAATAATTATATTTTTAATATAATTTAATTATTACAAAAATTTATGTGAATAAAATAAAATAAATAAAATATGTTTTATATATTTGATATATATAAATATGTTTTTAATATAATAATATAGTTATTTAAATATAATTATTTTATTATATTTTATTATTAATTATAAGATTTTGTGTTAAATTGTAATATATTTATGAGGAAAGGTTTAGATAATTGAATTTTTTTAATTTATTGATATATTTTTTGATATTTGGTATAAATAGATTATATTTATTTGAAAATTGTAATAATTGGATGTTTTTTTTGGATTTAGAATGGTAGGTTATTTTATGATATTGTTGGAATTGTGGGATTTAGGTAATAATTTATAAATTTTGAAATTGGTAAAAATATATTTGAATTAATTTTTGTTTTAATTTGGGATTTAAATATAGGAAATTGAAAATATTTTGATTTATTATTTTATATTTGGTGGTTTTTTCTGTTTATATTGTTTTTTTTTTCCTAGATAATTTTAATATTTAGATATTTTTGTTTATTACGGTTTTTATATCTTATTTTTATTTAAATTTATTTATTAAATTTGTATTTATTTATATTTTATTTATTGTTTCTTTTATTTCCCTTATTCGTCTTTTATTTCTTACTTCAGAATATAATATCGATTTTATCTAAATTTGTATATTGGAAATACTATGCGGAGGATAATAATTTTAATTATTTAAATAGATATATAATTATTAATTTTTAATTAATAAATGCATATTAAATATATAATAAATAGATATATTTTAATTATTTGGTTCAGAATTAATTTCTTTAATCGTCGGTATGTTAATATTTTTTTTTCCTGACGGAAAATTATTGATATTTGGTGTAAGTGTTGTGCTATGTGATTGGCGCAAATTCTTGTAAATTATTTATTATATTATATTATATTATATTAATATATTATATAATGCAATATTTTGTTTAATTTAAATTATATTATATTACATTAAATCTCATAATATTTAATATTAAATTTAACCTAAATTATATTTAATCTCTATTATTTTACATTTTCATTGCACTACACTACACCAATTCCACAACAACTACCACAACAACAACTATTATCATTACTATTACTATTATTATTACTACTACACTACATTACACTACACTACACTAATTCCATCCCACCACATTATATCTTCAATTATATTAACCTTACCCCATTACACTCCACTAAACTACACTATACTAATTTATACTAATTCCACTACACTAAACAAGATTAAACTAAACTCAACTATCATAACTACAACTATAATTACAATTACACCAATTACATTACATTACAACTACAACTACACTACTCTATACTACACTACACTAGACCAAACTATTCCATACTACACTACAATACACAAAACTACAATACACTACATTACACTATGCTAATTACACCACACCACAATTCGAATTATAATTAGAATAATGATTATATTACCATAATTACAATATCCTATACTTACAATTCCACTACACTATCATCACAACTACAAATAAACTACACCACACTACATCAAACAATTATAAATAAGAAGATCATTGCAATCACCACAATTATTTCAAAATAGACAATTCCAAATACCTTTCGATCCAAAAATTGATTCATTTTGCTATCCATACATCACAATAATCCAAATTATTTTTTAATTCCAATCCTTAAAATTGCCATCTCCATATTATATAATATTATTATTATATAATAAAGAAAATCAATAATATATAATAAATAATATTTAAATAATATATATTAATTACAATATATATATTATTTTATATTAATATAAATCATCAATATTAAATAAATATAAAATATATAAATATAATAAATTAATTTAAAAAATATTAATAATATATTAAATATTATAATAAAATCTAATATAAAATAATTTATTCCAATATTACCATAATTCATAATAAAATAAATATACATATATATAATATAATTAAAAAAATATTATATAAAATAAAATAGAATATATTTTATATTATTTTAAGATATATAATATAATTTAATTTAATATTAAAAAAATTATAAAATATTTAAAATATATATTATATTAAATTATATTATAATATAATATATTATAATATCATAATATAATATTAAAATATATTATTATAAAATATTAAAATATAATATTATATAATATAATTAATAAATAATAATATATTTAAGGGCTGCCGCCCCTGCCGCCGACCCCGGAAGAAGTGGCAACGAATCAAACCAAATGGGTACAAATATTCTTCGGTACTTCGCACTTTCAGGTCTTCCCGACGAATCAAACCAAATGGGTACAAATATTCTTCGGTGCTTCGCACTTTCAGGTCTTCCCCCTTTATCCTATGAATATTTTTGTGAAATATATTTGATAGGTTTGAATGAAATATAGTTTATCAAATAATTTGCTATACAGTTCCTCGACACGAAATAAAACACAGACGTATCCATTATGCGCAGGTCTTCTATGCAATTGGGATTGTTGGTGTCCAAAAAGGAGATGCAAAAATATGATGGCTGGACATGCTTGGCCATCGTATTTTCCCACGTCAGTGTTGGGTTGGCAAGGTGCAGCAACTAGCTGCAGCGTAGAGTATGCATAGCATTCCTAAAGTAAACCCTACATGAAATTCGACAGAAACCCTAAAGAAACCCGAAATAAAACCTTTAAGAGATGTAAATCTTTAAGAAACGCGAAACCCTCCCAGAGAATCCCTACATGAAACCATTTGAATGAAATTTTAAATGGCATCCTAAAGAGAGCCTAGACGACACTCTAAAAAATTCTGAAGGAAATCCTAAATGGAACCCAAACATAACGCTTGGACATGTGTTACCATGGTTCCGTCCGTGCAATTTGATGGACTTTGGGTGGTATGTACGATGCAATGTAATGTAATGTAGTGTAATTTTGTGTAATGTAAATGTATTGTAAATGTACTGTCATTGTATTGCATTGGAACGTAATGTAATGCAATGTAATGTAATGTAGGATGTATGTATGTACATATATATATATAGATAAAAGTAGCTAAATACTACAGATATATAGATATATATATATATAAGTATTAATATATATATATATGTAAATTGTTGCAGATGTATACCAGGATGTTGTTCTTGAAAATAAATACTACAGCCAGGACCATGATGACACAGTAACTAGTCTGCCGAACAGGCAGTGTCCTGAACAGGGACGTTTTTTTTAATATTTTTTATAGGAAACATATGTAGTCCAGGACTTTGTCCTTGGAGTTATGTATATATATACAGTATATACATATAGACTAGGGTCTTGTCTTTGGAGTTACTTATGCATATATAGTCCAGGATTTAGAGAACAGTCAGTTGGAGGAGAGCCATGTAGAGGAGAGTCAGTTGGAGGAGAGCCATGTAGAGGAGAGTCATGTGTAGAAGGGTCATGTAGAGAAGAGTCATGTAGAGGAGAATCATGTGGAGAAGATTCATGTAGAGAAGAGTCATGTGGAGAAGAGTCATGTAGAGAAGAGTCATGTAGAGGAGAGTCATGTAGAGGAGAGTCATGTAGAGAAGAGTCATGTAGAGGAGAGTCATGTAGAGGAGAGTCATGTAGAGGATGATTTCTGTCTTTGGAATTTGATGGATTTTGGCTGGTATGTATGTATGCAATGCAATGTAATGTAATGTACTGTAAATGTACTGTAAATATGTATCGTAATGTAATGTAGCGTTAGTATTATATATACTTATATATATATGTATATGTATATATATATACATATTGATATATATATATATGTATATATATATACATATTGATATATATATACATATATATATTGATGTCTATATACACATATGCATTAGTTATAGATGTATACCAGGACTTTGTCCTTGGACATATTTGTGTCAGTTAGGCACTTGTATGACATGCAGGAAACAGTAACTAGTCTGCCGAATAGGCAGTGTCCTGAACAGGGACCTTTTTTTTTGCACAACTTTCAGATCTCACTTTCCCATGTGGTGCTGGTGGTCAGTGGGGATTTGATCGATGGCACGGGCGCCAGTGCGGTGCCGGCTCCGCGGCAGAAACGGGGGCTTTAAACGTTTAAGGCAGAACACAATGGGGGAAAACCATGGAAAAAACATGGGAAAAGCACGAGCAAAAAGCAAAACATCAGGACTTGTTTAATGCGAGTGACACGGCAAAACGTGGGAGATTTCATCCAATTAGAATGGACATGTTTGAGTAACGTACTGCAACGAAGAGCGTGCTGACAGGTTTCCTAGTGTTACTGCATGATGATGTTTGAAAAAAATATTTATTGAGTTAGTATAAAAGATAGATGTGTGGAACATCCCCTTGTATAGCCCCTACACAGACCGTATATATTGTAGGCTCTACTACATCGGTTCCTAAGTCCTAGCCATTGATCACTGATAGAGCTACCTGTCAACGTTACACCTGAGCACGATGCAATGGATGGCATGATGAGCGAAATGGACACTTGACGGGGTTCA